GAAATGCATAACAATAAATTCAAAAATAAAAATTTGTGAAAATTCGTAATATTGTATTTTTTCCTTAGATATTTGTTTTGTTGCTTATGTTTGGGAGAGCATTTTTTTCGCAAATATCAAATACATATATACTTTCGCGAATTTTCATGAATGCATATCCGCCCTCTGATAATTAGATTCGAACCTGTGTCAACTGGAGTTTGGCAAGTTCCTTGGCGTGAACGAGCGACTGTCTCGCCTCGACCTGAAGTTTTGCCTGTTTTGAGAAAAAGTCGTCGACTTCATCCTCATCCTGGTCTTCCTCCCCCCAAAAGAGGGGGGACGGTTTCAAAAATCGCGGCGGCGCGGGGCGGAATGAATGCGAGGAGGAATGCGAAGTGGTCGAAGCGGTCGATGTTTTGCGGAGATCGAAACAAGGGAGACTTTGGGGTTGTTGGTGATGGTCCTCGTCGTCCGAGGCGGTCTCGTTCATAAAGCAGACTTGCAGATTGTTGGAGATAGCTGAGGGATAAGAGAGGTTGGATAAGGTCAGATAGGGTTAAAGATGTACACTCAAAATAAGGTAGTAATGAATCATTACCATGCGGAATCACTATGTATCTCTACCACGCCGGTTACGATTTGTCGTAGAAATGGTAATAATAATTTCAGGGAAATTCAAATTCATTACCAAATATTAAGGAAGTGAATACCATTTTGTAATGAATTTGAATTTCCCTGAACTTATTATTACCATTTCTACGACAAATCGTAACCGACGTGGTAGAGCCACATAGTCATTCCGCATGGTAATGATTCATTCCTACCTTATTTTGAGTGTATCGATACTTCTACCGTATGGTACCCATAATCACCGTTTTTTAAAGAATTTCATAAAGTCAATTCGTACACTAAAGTGAAAGTATTAACACTGAAAAATTTTCAGGGAAAATCAAAATATGTACTAAAAATGTTTTTTTTTTGCAAAATTTTGGTACGTTTTTGTCCAATTTTAGTATTTTGGTATACTGTACGATCTTCATATTTTTCTTATTTTGTATTACTGTATGTTTTTAGTATGTTTTTTGTAAACATATTTCGTACACCTGTAGTTTTGTATATTTTTGTATATTTTTGTATAATTTTTGCCTAGTTAATTTTTAAATTTTTGTACATATTTAATGCCAAATTCTGAAAAAAATCATTATAATTATTAATTATTTTAATAAGATTTGATTCTTTCCCTTGGGTTTTGAGTTTTTCGAGTCTGAAAGTTGGGAATTTTTATATATGTAGAAATGTTCTAAATACTCATTAATACCTCCAATTTGATATATGTACGTATTGATTAAAAAAAACGGGGATTTAGGGTAAGCAAATAGCGGTATATCCATACCTGTTCAAAAAATATTTATTCATTCAAAGTTCATTCATTCAAAGCCTTGAAAAAAATATTCATTCCTTATTCATAATTTGTTCATTCATAACTTGTAAGAAAATTATTCATTATTATTCACCATTCCTTCATTCTGCATTGTATTAAAAATTCACAGTATTAGATGAATTTCTCAACTTTCCCTATGTATTAAGCATTGAGTAAGGAATGAATGATGAAAAAAATATTCATTCACACGAATTGAATAGATATTCATTCAATATTAATTTATTCAAAAATTAGAACAAAATATTCATCCAACATTCATTCAGTTTTTGAATATTGAATGAATAATTTATTCATTCAATATTAAATGAATGAATGTGAACATGTATGGGTACACCTATAGATAAGGTGAAAAAAATATTGATAAGCCACATATTTCTTACCACTTCCGGTCGTCCCATTAATCCCGGCGTGTGAAAGTCTTCTACCCGGATTAGATTTCCTTCCAGAATCAAACAGTTCCCCACCGGCTAAACGTCTCCTAATCTCGTCCCGATCGGAAGGCGTTCTTCTCTAAAAGAAAAAAAAAACTTTCAAAATTTTATTTACAAAAAAAATCCTTTTCAGAAATTTAAACCGGAAAAGAAACATTACATTATTCACTCTTTGTTCTTCTCTTTCTCGTAAAATTTCCGCCATAAAAAGCTCCTCGGCAAGACTCAGATCTGAATTTTGATCTTGTAAATTATTCAGCGTTTTAATCTGGAAATTTGTAAATCTATCGTTTCTATTTTTATTTTGGGGGGGCAAATGAGGGGACGAGGAGGATGAGGAACTTTTATTTTCGGCAGTGGTTGTGGTAGTTTTGGCAGTATTTTTATGATTATTTTTGACATTAATATTTTCAAAATTGTTCGGAAATTTTTCATAAATGAAATTTTCTCTAATGTTTATCGCGCTCGGGCGAATTTTTCTAGTGTCAACGGTCAAATCGTAGTGTTTCTTTTGGAGGAGTAAGGCTCTCCTGGCGTCGTGATTATCATTTTCGCTGGAATTTTGACCAAATTTTTGGTTTCCGAGTTTTGTAATGGTATTTTGAAAGAGAGAGGATAAGTTGATGTTGGTTATCGAAGGGGGGTTTGAAGGGACATTGTTGATCAAATTATCCCTTAATTTTTCAGTCTCTTTCCGAATCGTGGTTATCATCGAGGTGAAATTGGTTAACATTTTTATAGCCAATTATTGGCAGTTTTTAGTACAAAAGCTCAAAAATAAAATATGTAATTCTGACTTCTTTTCCTGAACAGCTTTAACGTTTATTTTATCATGGAGGTGAAATTCGATGGTAGTTTTCTTAGTGTAGAAAATTTTTAAAATTTTAATTTCCTGGCTTTTTTAACGTCGTTTTTTGTCAAATATCTATGAAGTCTACTCGTAGTTTTTCAGATCGTAAATGGGAAATTGGGCAAGATTATGGCGAGATTGGCAGTTTTTTGACTATACGAAATACATATTTAGAATTTAAATTATTTTTTGAACTATTTACGACTTTTTCTTATATTCTTTTTTATGTCGTTCTTTTTCGTGTAAAATATGAAGTCAGATCGTGCTTGGTTATTAAGGAGGTGAGATTATTTTCGGCAGTTTTTTGAACACAGAAGTTTAATTTTTGCGATTTTGTTGGACAAGTTTAACGCCGTTTTTTGTAAAAAATTAATTCAGTCTTTTTATATAGAGTTTTTCTTACAGATGAAGGTTCGAGCTTGGAGACACAATATTTAAATATTTAAGATCAGGTAGACGAGACAGGTAAAATATTCGGTAAAATGTTGTTATTTTAAGTGGTCTGGTCTGGTCTGTTAGTGAGCGTGTGTGGGCGTAAATATGTATAATATCACGAAGCCAAAAACCGGCCTTTACTTTACAGAACTCATGCCAGATCAGATTATATTTACGAAATGCAAACCAATAACTTTTTGAAGAGGGTATGAATGATCTGAAGCTTTGCTGTTTACATTTACATTTCCTCGTAAGAAAATCATGGTATGGAAAAAATACTGTTTGAGACATGAAGAATCTGCTGTTATGTACATATAACAAATGGTATTACACATTAAAGAGAGGAGTGGAGGATTATTGTACAGATGGGTGCGTTTTTGTGTTTAGTTGCATCTGCTGGTCTCTGGTGAAATGAATGACCCAACAACACGTACTTTATTATAGAGAGCTTTTTAAAAGTGTCAGAGATTAAGTTACGTTAAATGCGGGGCGAGATACCGGTATACGTAAAACTGCCCAAGGCGTGTGCATGTAAGTAAGAGGGGAAGAAGTTGGAGGATGTGATATGGAAAAAAATTATTGAGGGATGATGCTGCTGCTTTTAGGTAAAAGGGTTGACTTTGACTTTGTGGACAGAATTTGTACATATTTTGGACGAAAAATGGGTTCATGATTTAAATTTGTGTATATATTGAAAGAAAAATGGAAAAAATTGAGAGATGATGCTGTTTTTGGGTAAAAGGGTGGACAAAATGTGGACAAAATTTGCACATATTTTGGACGAAAAATGGGTTCATGATTTTTATAAGAAGGGAAAATTTGATTTTTTTTTGCACAGTTTACACGTGAATTTGTGGTAGTACAAAAAAAGGGGGACAAGATGATTTTCATAAGAAGAGAAGATTTGCCCAGTTTTTCAGGGGAACGATTAGTGCAAAAAAAGGGACAAGATTTGCGCAAGAAGCATACATACCTGTTCGCTGTCATTCATTTGAGGATTATGATAGTGAATGAAAATGAATTTCCTATCATTTGAATGAAAATGACTCAAGGATTCCGCCATTTTAGACGAATGACTGTGAATGAAGGATTTTTCACTTACTTCATTTTTCACCCTGTGCTTAATACATGGGGCGAAGTAAGAAATGAAGTCAGATGAAGTGAAGTGAAATGAAATAAATTTGAAAGAGAATGATTGAATGTTAATGAAAATCTTCACTCAGAAATCGGGATGACTCTTTTCGAATGAAAAAATTAAATTTTTGAACAGGTACTTAGAGGGACATGGTTCTCTGCTTTTATAGAGTTTACGTAGCACACTTACGTTTTGTCTCGTAAATTGAAATTAGTGAGAATTAATTTATGTAAAGTAGTTAATTAATAATTAATTTATGTACGAGTAAAAAGTCGGAGTTTGAATATTTGGAAAATAGAATATTTTAAATATGCGAATTGCAGATCCATATGTCGTTAATAGGCGGGATTGATGGGAAATTTTTTTAATTGTCGGCTTAATTATTTCGTATCTTGGAAAAATGGAAAAATTTGACATAATTATGTGTCAAAAGAATAGATCAGACTTTGTAGAAGGCCAAATATTTGTACTAGGGCATGTAATACCCAGAAAGACATTTTCCCATATTATGCCTGTTTTACACCCTGTATGATTTTTACGTATTTTTTACGTATTGTGGCAGACCGGCACGTAACAATAACGGGAATATGTAACGTGTAAAACACAAGTATTACTCTTGGGTTTGAGGGTCAGTTATATGCTTGTTTTATGCTCGTGTTGTATTCGATGAATACAGACGTTATATTACTGTATTATTTCTGAAATTACGATCATTTTACACATTAATTGTTTTCAAATCTGTACATATTTATTATCTCTTCAATAATCAAAAAAAATTACGCTATACAAGTTAAGTTAACAAAACTCCATTACGGCTAGGATTAATGTAATTATTTAACATCGGGATACAATAGTAACAACTAGAATCTAATCTATACGGTAACAAAACGCATTTCATAAACAACAAATTACTATTAAGTACAAAATCATTAGATAAATTTAACGACAATTTATAGATACATAATTTGCTACTCTTAATCGGATACATACCCACAGTGTTTCGAGTAAGAATTTTTTGACAAATGAAGTTAGGTTTACCTATGTCATCAATTGTTATTGATTTAACGAGAACTATATTCATTTCCCCATCCAGAAAGCAATTATCACCAAACTTTGTACCAATGCTAAATTTTTCTAAACAATATCGCCGGATTACTTTATTTTTACCTTGTACATAATTTTTGCATCTGGCGGACTTTGACTGCAAATAATCAGAATTACGGGCTTCTTCCACTCGTTTAACTATTTGCTCCAACTGAAGTTTTTTCCCTCTGACTTGTTTTTTTAAAAACTGCAAATGATTTTCGAATGGGAATGCGCTAACGTTATCCAAACTACCGAAAAGTTTTGCGTCATCTGAAATATGTAACAGGCTATGTACATTATAGACAATTTGTGTTGCTCCGTATATATTTTTCATGTCACTAACGAATTTTTCTAATAAACTTTTTGCTAAATTATTCCACTCATCCACATGAGCGTTGTTAGATAATAAAATATATACAGCTGAATGAAGCTTTAGAAAGTGGATATAGGCTTCGTCAGAAAGAATGCCACGAAAGGCCATTGGAGCTGTGTATAATAAAAGTTGTCTGAACTCTGTAGCTTTGAACCTGTTAATATCTTTTAATGAGCGCGGCTTCCTGTTAAATTCGTAAGGAACATGTTTGGAAATACGACATAAATAGTCCGAGATTTCGAAAACTTTCTTAGATTGCATACGATTTTTTATGGGCCCAGAAATCCAAATATTTAAGAGTTTACGCATAATTCCTAAATAAAAACAATGCATTGAGTCTATAACGACTTGACTAACCAATCCAACATTAAGTATCGCCAATGGTGAGTCGTACACATGATGATCAATGTCAAGTTTCGCCCTAAATGATTCATCAGATCGAAGCGTACTAGACTTAACAGAATAAATAATTCGCCCATTGTATTCACCTTCGTCAATACAGCGCTCACAAGAATGATAACCATTATGCCCTTTGCACCCCTTAATAAAACTACGCGCAGGCGCATCTGCAATAATTGCACTTATTCGAAATCTATATTTAACAGAATCAACAGTGAGCCCATTTAATTCTAAATCTCTAACCTCCTCAATAAATGGTTTTAAAAATTCTTTAACACAACATGGCTTACTCTCGCCGCAAAATAAACCGGCCAGTACTGGGGACATATTTTTGACTTGGTCAATTGTAAATAAAATTGGCCACATTTGCGTATTGCTACTCTTACACACTGGGAATCCGTCCGTGCTTACAGTTATTGACAATAAATCATTTGAATCATTTAAATTTACAAATGTTTTTAAAATGGGATATTTACATTCATTTCTAAAACTAGAACAACTAACCCTAAGAATTTGATCTTTAATACCAAAATAACTAAATTTCCCCCCTTTAATGGAAGTCACGGTTATTTTTCTCGGAGTGTGTAATAATGTTTTGGCGCATACGGGAAGAATTTCATTGTCCGGAAGATGATTATTTAAAACTGGCAATAAAGAATCTAGTGCGTTATGAGATATGTTAAATGAAATTGCCCAATGCGATAATGCATGTTTCAGGCTAACTTGAGAAGAAGCTGACGATGGTGTCAACTCAATTGAAGGACTTACTACATTTTCTAGACTGTGAATATTGCTGTTACCCAAAGAAAAATCATATTTATAGGATGGCACACTTCTTAATGGAGTAACCAAAACTTCAGGACTTATTTTACTTAACGAATTAATAGTGGACTGAACATCCTTGATGATTCTGCGGCGCTTGGATCGATATGACGACATTAGGATGAGTTATTATCTGGTGACTGTTGGGATTTCGGCGGCCGAGAATTTTGAAGCCAAGTCTGAATGAAGGCAACAATTTCTGACGTCTTGGAAGCACGGCAAACTGGATTTTCCAAAGCTCCGTCTAGTTATCAGCAAAAAAACTTATTATCTGAATTACAGTTGTACTCATGGCTTCTTTCCGCTTAGTGTAAATTAATTCTCATGTGTGCAATATTATTACACATGCCTACATATTATAAACCCCAATATTCAAAATCCTGGCATATATGCAAATGTTTAAGAAATATTTAACAACTAACCTAGAACCGCAGCAGCTAATGGAGAACTTTTGAAGCAAATTTTATTGTGAACCCCAATGTAATTTGTTTGCACCGCTAATTCTTTTGAGAATAGACGTTGCAGAATTCCAGTGACAACTTTCTGTGGTGTCTTGCCCCCAAAGGATGAAAACATGTCAACCTACATAAGCAATTGTGGATTAATAAAATTTGGCAAAACAATTTAAAATAATTATCAAATATTTGTACCAAGCTGGTTTTATGATTGTTATCAGCCATCCAGTGTTCCAAGCTTCTCATATCCGTCAGAGATTCAAGTGGCAATTTTACCGGGACATTGAGTTGCACCCTAGTTGAGGTCGATTTAGTTCGAATAAGTAGCTCTTGAATATCATCCTTTAATTCACGGACGGTAGTGAGCAGATATTTTTCGAGCGCTATATACAAAATTTAAGTTTTTGTTAATAATTTCTCGTTGACTAATTACGGAAATGACTTAAATGAGGTCTAGTACCGATCTGCCGTGTATACAAAGTTAGCAGAGTTGTCCCAGGTGGTAGTTTTCCTTCTTCAGATTCTTGGCCCAGATCGCCGTCGGCTGAATTGTTCACAATAAAGTCTTCCTCAGTTTGGAATACAGAAATTTTGATAACTTGTGATTCCCCCGGAGGCGAAAATATTTGTGAATTCACTGGCACAGATTCGGGAGGAGTGGTGACGGTTGTTGATTCCAAAAATGACCCGTGATCTGTAGGTCCTGTGAGTAATTATTAGCAGTTAATGTCAACCACTTTGCACTATAATGTGTTATCAATTAGGCACAAGTGTTTTTTTAAATAATAATATAATAAACATAACGAAAGTAGTTGTTAAGTAAAATTCCATACCTTCATCTTCGTCTGATGGTAATGCGGGCGATAACCTCAGATTGTCTTCCTCCTCTAACGATATCTCATTCCCCTTATTCTTTTTTATGCTTATCTTTCTTTCAAATATCTTTCTCTTTCGCGAAGATGTCCCCCCAGAATGATCCGATGACGACTCGAGATTTGATTCCTCCTCCGCACGTTTTTCTAGGGCTTTTCCTTCCTTCAAATCTCGAACTATAATTTATTTAACAAATTATAAATTATAATTGATGTATTAAAAGTTATAGAAGTAAATTAGCATAAACTTACCATTGCTACGTTTAAGTTGAATCGGATGCAGTTGCCAATTTTCTTGTGGAGCAGCAAGTTGACTAATTAACTTGGAAGCAATTTTATTTGCTTTGGGTCCGGCTGGCCAGTAGCAAAATTTTCTGGTAGCATCCAAGCAAATTTCAGGAACAATTTGCACACTGTTATCACTGGGATCCGTAAAATGGACAATGCAAAACATTGTAAATTCAGTTAAATGAAGAGAATATTGATGGAGGATCGTTAACTAATATGAGTGCGGAAGAAGTGTGAAATGAGGGAAAATAACGGCCAACCAGAGTTGCGTCCCCTGTATTTTACCAGTCTTTTACGGACGTTTTACTGTATGAATACGGAGAAGAATATTGGGAGCCTGTCTCAGAGTTTAATGTATGTAATATATTTGTTTCTCCGTGAGTGTATTACTTTAGTCGTTTTGATTCATTAAAACTGGAGTTTAACATCGAACATTTAACACATTTCTCACTACTGTAAAACCCAAGAGTAAAACTTTGTATTTACCTCCATATTCAACTTATATTTTACTAAACCCGGTTTTTACAGCCTATCTGATCAAATACTCCCGTTTTACTGGGTTCATGTCTTTCTGGGATATCGATATCGATATCGATATTTCAATATTTCGATATTTCGATATTTGAATATCGAAATATCGATATTTCGATATCGAAATATCGAAATACGAATCTTGCAATTTATGAATTACTTTAATTAATTTTATCTTCTCGCGAGTGCCAAGAATTCAATTTGGGAATTTAGGAACTTTGGGGGTGTAACCAAGTAAACAATCAATATTGGGAACTTTGGGGGTTCACCGATTGAAAATTGAATTTCGAAAATTTGGAGGTGTAACCAAGACAATCCTTAATTTTGGAAACTTTGAGGGTGTAACCAAACCTAATTTCAATTTTGGAAACTTTGGGGGTGTAACCAATTCAAAATTCAATTTTGGGAACTTTGGGGGTGTAACGATTTCAAAATTCAATTTTGTGAACTTTGGGGGGATAACCAAGTCAAATTTCAATTTTGGGAATTTTGGGGGTGTAACCAAGCCAAATTTCAATTTTGGTAACTTTGGGGGGTGCAACCAAGCCAAATTTCAATTTTGGTAACTTTGGGGGGTGCAACCAATTCAAAATTCAATTTTGGGAACTTTGGGGGTGTAACCAATTCAAAATTCAATTTTGGGAACTTTGGGGGTGTAACCAATTCAAAATCCAATTTTGGGAACTTTGGGGGTGTAACGACGCCAAATTTCAATTTTGGGAACTTTGGGGGTGTAACCAAGCCAAATTTCAATTTTGGGAACTTTGGGGGTGTAACCAATTCAAATTTCAATGTTAGAAACTTAAGGGGGTTAACCATGACAAATTTAAATTTTGAAAAATGTGGGGTGTGGAATCAAGTCAAAATTCAATATTCGAAAATTTTGGGGTGTAACCAACTCAAAATTCATTTTTGGAAACTTGGGGGGTAGGGTGTGACCAAGGCAAAAGTAAATTTTGAGTTGGTTACACCCCAAAATTTGAGAACTTGTGGGGTTTTATGAGGTAAAAATTCAATTATCGGAACTTTGGTGTGTATTTGATTTACCAAGTAAAAATTCGATATTACAATATCGAAATTTCGATATTTCGATACCGAAAATTCGATATTGGAATATCGAAATATCGATATTTCGAGATCTCGAAATATCGAGATTACATGCCCTAATTTGTACGTTTTGGGACAAAGAACGAGTACGACAAAATTTACGCTTTGGAACAAAAAAACGAATTTTGAGACAAACTGCTAGTACAAAATTAGCATAAGTTCAAGCCACAATTTTGTGCATAATTTTGACAAAGGGAACGACAAAAGGTGAATTGTATGACAAAAAAACGATTAATTATTTCCATAAGATCACGACAAAATTCTCTCTTTTACACAATTTTCTAGACACAAAATTGACGTTTTGGGACAAAAAAAAACGAATTTTGCGACAAACTATTAATACAAAATTTGCATAAATACAGGCCACAATTTTGTACATAACTTGACAGAGTGGACAACAAAAGTAGCATTTTGGGACAAAAAATTAATCAATAATTTACATATTATGTAATAAATAACACGACAAAATTTTCTCCTGTACACAAAGTTTTTTTTAACAAGTGATTAATTATGATTGATTATGATTATGAATAATTTACATATTTAAGAATAGACCAGAACAAAAGATTTCTCACCTTTGTATGAATGTCATGAAGTTCTGGCAGATTTTCGAGCTTTTCGTGCGTGTCGTAGGTGATGGTGTAGAGGTCCATCACGAACCGCGAGTCCTTCTTGTAGTGACGATACTTCTCGTCCAAATTGAACCGCATCAACATTTCGGAAACTTATTTCTAAAATTCTGTAAGAATATTTTAACACGGAAGTCTTCAATGCTGTCGGCTAGTTAATGAAATGAGCGTGTAGGATTGGAATTTTACCGAGCCACATCAAAATTTTGGAAACTTATTAAAAAAACTCGGGAAACTTGTTGAAAAACTTTATGAAAGTTTTAAAAATTTGTGAGAATATTTTCCCAAAAAATCTTGTCTATCGGCAGAATTCTACTATTGAATGAAACGACGTAAAATTGGAATTTAATTGAATCACATACACATTTTGGAAACTTATGAACTGAAATTTCTAAAAATTCTGTGGGGAATATTTCCCATAAAGTATTGGCTGCCGGCTAGTGAATGAAATGAACTCGTAGTAGGATTGGAATTTAATTGAAATTGGACCGCATCTACACTTCGGGAACTTATTTATTAACAAACTTTTCGAAATTTCTATAAAATTTTAGTGAAAATATTTTGACAGCTGCCGGCTAGTGAATGACACCAAGTAGGATTAACTGCAGGGGAAAATGTGCAGTGGTCGGGTAACAGACCGTGAAGCGGATCATCTCATCTCGCCAACTTCCTTTGTATCCGTATTTTTTGGCTAAAATGATGATGCAAAAGAAGAAAAGGAATGCAATTTTTTGCGGAGATTTGGTGGCGTTGCGTAATGTTGCAAAAATTGAGGGGCGGTAGTAAAAAGGCGAGGTAAGGGGATGACCACACCAAGCCACGCTACCGGCAAAAATGGTAGCATATTTTAAAATACGTGGCTGGTTTTCTAAAGCACAGCAGTGTTTTTCTCATCTTGTGGATAAAATTGAGTAAAAAATTGCATCTCTAAATATTTTTTTGTGATTTTATAATCCGCCCGAGGTTCTGCTATGCATGCAGCAGAGTTTCATCACCTCAGCTCCTCGATGAAATGAGACTCGACAAGCTTTATGTAGTAAAAAGCAGTGGCCGCGGAAGCATTGGTGGGGACAGAGGGACAATGTCCCCACGGTTGTTCGATGTCCCCATCATTTGCCCATCTTTTATAAACCACTCCTTGCCCCTATCCTACAATGGAAATATCCCCACGGCTTCCGCGGCCACTGATTGCACGATTATAACATACTTTAATGCAGTGGCCGCAGAAGCATTGGTGGGGACAGAGGGACAATGTCCCATCATTTTCCCATGTTATGTAAACCACTCCTTCCCCCCATCCTACAATGGAAATATCCCCACCACGGCTTCCGCGGCCACTGAGGGAAAGACATGGATATGTATATGTAAAGTTGGGGGAAACATTGCATCGTCATCAGTCGGTAATTATGTGGTCAGTGGTGGTGGAATGGAATATCTACGAATTTGTGGTTTTTATAAAAACGCAACCAATTCTAAAATGGGATCGGAACCGGAATTCTTTAAAATCCAATCCAGTGCAACCTGATTTAGCCCGAGTCAGGTTGTTACTAAAAATTGACGTGTCTATAATAGAAGTTTTTATTATTTGTTTTTCCACAAATGTAGTATAAGTTTTCAGTACGAGCGTAATCGATAGATTGACAGACAGACAGACAAGCATGACGGGTAGATAAGCCCTGACTCGATTTTGCGATCTTCAACATTAATTCCTAATTTTGCATGTTCTACGTAACTCCAAAATTTTAAATCGATTGGATAAGTTTTTCGAACGTAATTGAAAGACAAACAGACAACCAACCACGATGGGGAGATAAGCCTTGGCTCAGGCTATGCATGCATTGGCAAGGCAAGAAATATATATATATGCCAATGGAAAAAGGAGTAGTCAAATGTACAATTGATTATCATGACTTTTCATGCATAAAATTTAATTCCTGTTTCATGACTAGTTTTACTAAGAAATATTGCATACATATGCAAATTTAATGCGTCAGTACCTGAGCTTAAAATAAATAAATATGTATTCAATTGCCAATTAATTTTATCCATAAATTAATTGTCCCAGTTGAGTTGCATGCATGTAAAAAAAGTCGTTCAAGATCATTACTTAATTTAGCATAAAATTTTGCACACGGTTCCACACAACCGCAGTGCAAAGTACTTCTCGCAAAATTGGATATACGTACTGCATATGCAAATTTACATGATTTGTGACATATGCAAATTTGCACAATGTTATGTATTATTTTATGGAGAACAATACAATAGCCAGAAATTAGGGTGATAAGAGCATATCTTTTTCAAGGGTGGTGGTTGTTATACCGGAATACACGGTAATCAATTTGCATATATGCCAATACCTTGTTATGTTATGACTTTAGCTTTTTTTATGCGGTTTTTCGCATAATAATAATGATGATGTAACATTACATTACATGAGCGGAATTCATCCTCAATGCGACTCGGTTAATTGGGAAGGGTAGATTTCTGATGTGACAGTTGTTGCAAATTTTTACAGAAATTGTTGCAAATTTTAGTGGAAATTCTTCCAAAATTTTGAAATAAGATGCCTAATTGTCCAAAGTGCGATAAGCCGGTGTACTTCGGTAAGTTAAAAGTTTTTTAATGCAAATTGAATTAATTGCTAATTAATTAGTCTTTAATTAATTACTAATTAATTACTAATTTTTGCCAGCCGAGAAGAAAACGTCGATGGGGAAGGATTGGCATGCGGCTTGTCTAAAATGCGAGCGTTGCAATAAAACTTTGGTTCCTGGAAATCATGCCGTAATTTAAATACTTAATTATTTAATTGTTATTTAATTAATTATTAGCTTTATATAATTTTTTAGTTAATTATGTATGAAATTTATCCGTAATTAACATAATTGCCGTGCATTTAAATAGGTGCACGAGGACAAAGGTTATTGCCACAAACCGTGCTATGCGTCAATGTTCGGGCCAAAGGGTAAATATTTTATGAAAAAAATTGGGGAGATTATTTTGTGAATTATTGTTCATAATTTTGAATTTGTTATTGCTTTCCAGGCGTCGGCGTTGGTGGGGACAGTTACAGTTATGATAAGAAGTAGAAGAAAATGAAAATGAGGAGGAAATTAAGAACTTATTTGGCTCAAAAAATTAAAATTTGGTAAAAAAAAAACTTCTAAATTTCTAAAAGAATTGAGGGTCGACTCAAATTAATTGAACATTGACAAAAGTTTTATTGTGACGCTTAATATTAACAAATTCGTTGTAATTCAGAAACAATAAATAAATAAAAAACTTTGGTCATATTGATACTTCAAAAAATTTGAATTACGCTTCCAGATTTTTATTTTATTTTGTAATTTATTTTTATTTCCAAAATGAATTTTGACTGATGGGGATGCATCCAGTTGTTGATCTATTATTTTAAATTACCGTTTAACATTGACAAGAAATAAAGTGTTACTCATAACTTCTACACTTTTGGTGTAATTTGGGAAATAATAAATTTAACAAAATTTAAAGTCATAAAAAACATGAGAAAATACGAAATTTTTGTACCAATTACTACCAAAAAGTCAGAGATGACTACTTTATCTGTTATTTAAAATTAATGCTCAATATTGCCAAAAAACAAAATGAGACCCTAAATATTAACAATTCCGCTGTAATTGAGAAACGATAAATTTAACAAAATTCAGACTGATAAAAATTTAAAATCAAAACATTATTGCAGAAGAATTTTACGTATTCAGAATTTTTTTAATATTATGAATTTGCATTTAATCAAATAAATAATTTGATCCAAGTAAAAGATTTTTGATTTGTGAATTATCAATTTCAAATTGACGGCCAACATTTACAAAAATTGTGTAAAGCATACTATTGTAGAGTAACTGGCTGGATAGGATAGACTTAAATTCAAAATCTGGCCGCTTTCAAATTTATTACGGGTAAAAATGAGATTTTCTGAGCAGCGCCGTAGCAAATAAAATTTATTAAAAGTCAAGTTGTCGCACGGTGAAAACCAGCCGGCAAGGGGTGCAGTTACATTAGCCGAGTGAGCCGAATTATCCTATTATTATACACTCGTTTATTATATTTTGGCGTTCAAATTATTCAATTCGTGCCAAGAATTTGGGTAATTGAATGATTTTTACGCCAAAATAAACCAGCTTACTCGGCTTACATATTTATTTGGATTACATTATTTTACCCAAAATCTCGACCAGAATGGAATAATTTAAACGCCAAAATAAAATAAACGAGCGTAAAATAATAGGATAATTCGGCTCATTACGGCGCTGGTTTCTCGGCTCTGTCACGTGATCAGCAGGTCGAGTAGAGCGGAAGATTTTTTATCCTATTCAGCCAGTTATTCTGCAATATTAAAAATTCAGTTTAGAAAAAATAAATTTAGCAAAATTTAGAGTGATATTCTTTTTTTTACAAAAACACAGTAACAATCATTGATTGTTTGAAAAAGACATTTTGCGCTTTCAGAATTTTTTTAATTTTAGGAATTTGAATCTATTTCAAAAACTAATTTTGACCTAAAAATTGTAAACAAAACGTCAAATGAGTGAATTGTCTATTATTTCAAATTGATGCTCAACATTGACAAAAATTTCAGTGTGTCGCTTAATATTAGCAAACTTTGTGTACTTTATAACTTTTTTTAGCAATTATTTGTGATAAAAAAGGTATTTTTTCCAATTTCAGAATATTAAAAGATTGAAAACTCATCTTTTATTTAAATTCAATGCTCAATCAACATTTATTTCGTTGTAGTTGAGAAATATGTAATAAATTAAAAAAATAAGGCATATTATTCATACTTATTCTTACTTAATTACTTAATTTTGACCTAGAAAAAGAATCAAATAGTGGTCTCAACGGTTCTCGGTTCTGACCGAACCGAACCGGGACAGAACCGAACTTTTATGACCGGTTCGGTTCCGGTTCTAGAACCGGACCGAACTGGACCTTTAAGACCACTAGAATCAAAGCACATTTCATACTTCTCGTTTAAGTTGTTTATGGTCAACATTAGAAAAAAATTAGTGTGACGCATAATATTAACAAATTTGTTATAATTGAGAAATAATAATTTAAAAAAATTTAGAGTGAAATTTAAAAAAATACGCTAAGAATTATTAAGATGATTGGAAAAAAGCATTTTTCTGAATTTTTAAATTTTAGGAATTTAAATGTAATTCAAAAAAAATAATCTGAAATAATCTGACCCGAGTTTTCCATCTATTATGCCAAAATAATGCTCAATATTAACAAAATTTCAGTGTGACGCATAATATTAGCAATTTTGTTGTAATTGAGAAATAGTTAACCGCTACAAACGAAATGTAGCAAAGGGGTGAAGCAACACGGTCACGTGGTCATGGCATATCGATTTTTGAAATCCCCGCCCAAAACTTCGTGAATTTTGTGAATTTACCCGTATTTAGAAAAATAATCTTAACTCAAAATTATTTTTGGAGAAATTGGCTAACGAAATTGAAATTCGGTGAAATAAAAATTTGATAAAATACAATTACATGAAAATAATTTTCACCCCAATCGCAGAGAAAAGTGGATAAGCCTCCTAAAGGAGACCTAGAAGGTTTAACTCCATAAGGAAGTGTAAGCCACGTTGAGAGCCAATAGCAGACGACGGCGAGGTTTTCGCACTTTTTCCACATAACCTTTCAGTTTTTTCAGCTTTTTAAACAATCACAAATATACATTTTCTTCGATTTTGGCGTCCAATATGTACAAATTACTGCATTATTGACAAAGTTGAAATCCGAAAATTAAAAAAAGACATAATTAATATTATTTAAATACAAAAAATTTCTGATTGGCTGTCTGTGGGTGGGAGGGGTCGAAAACCACGCCGTCGTCTGTTATTGGTTCTGGCTGTTCAACGTGGCTTATGCATTCTTAATACACTGCATCTTCTATATGAATGTATGTTCAATGCCCCAATCGAAGCTGGACTCCTATTTAATCTATTATATTTTTTTAATTCTCCGCATTGACAAAAATTTTATTGTGACGCTTAAAATTTAAAAAATCGTTCTAATTCAGAAACAATAACTTTAAACAAAAAAACTTTGGTCATATTGATACTTCAAAAAAATTTAAAAAAACGTTCACGTTTTTGTGAATTTATTTAAGAACTAATTTGGCTGAGGAAATTAAAATTCCGTGAAATTAAAATAATTTTGAAAATTTCGAATGAAGCCCTTTCATCTGTTATTTTCAATTAATGTTCAACATTGAGATAAATCTATTTGTGACGCGTAACTTTCTCAGTGACGCGTGCAACTTGGGAAATACAAAATTTAACAAAATTTAAAGTTATGAAACATTAAAAAACACGTTTATAATTATTGATTAGTCCAAAAAGTTTTTTTTTGTGTTTTCAGAATTTGTTTTAATTTTGAAATTGATTTATACTAAGTATAAGTACTTCCAAAATTAATTTTGACATATGGGAAAGCGTCCCGGCTGTTCATCTATAATTTCAAATTGATGCTCAACATTGACAAAAATCAAAGCGCGACGCATAACTTTAACATTTTTTGTGTAATTTTGAAATTAATAAAGTTAACAGAATTTACTTAGAATTGTTATAATTTTTTTTAATATGTTGGCATTTATTGATTGCTAGAAAAATGTATTTCACGCTTTCAGAATTTTTTTAAATTTTGGAATTTACTAGTATTTTAAAAATTAATTTTGACATCTGCGGACGCATCAAGATTTCATCTATAATTTCAAATTAATGCTCAATATTTACAAAAATTAAAGTGCATGTGACGCAAAACTTTTTTGGTATGCTGGTTTTGAGTTTAAATTGTTTGAGTGTCTCAACTTCCCCTTCAAATGGCGATTTTTAAAACCTGTTCATCGTCCTGCTTTTTTTCAAAATTGAGAAGAAAAAAAGCATGTATGTTTTCAGAATTTTTTTTAATTTTTAGAATTTAGTTCAGTTTAAAAAACTAATTTTGACCTACGAAAAGGTACGCGGATGTATTGAACCTATAACTTGAAATTAATGCTCAACATTGATAAGAATTTCGCTGTGTCGCATAATATTAACAAAATTATTGAAATTGAAAATTAGAAATCTTAAAAAATATAGCATCTCAATTGTACCTAAGAAATTAAAATAAATACTTTAATAACTATTGAACAAGGGATTTTACATTCCATTGTTTTTTAATTTTTGGAATTTACGTGGTATTTCTGAAAACAATTTTTACCTACGAAGTGAACTGATGATTGTATATATATATCATTTCTATATTTTATGTACAAAAATTTTAGCGTGATGCATTATTTTAACGATTTTGTCGTAATTGAGAATAATAAAAATTAGTAATAAATATTCGAAGTTATTAAAACTAGGGCATCCAGAATCGGAAAATTTTCAGAAACCGGTTTTCGATTTTTCCGATTTTGGCAAACTTTCGTAAAACCGGTTTTTGATTTTACCGGTTTTTGAAATTTTCGTAAAACCGGTTTTCGGTTTTCCCCAAAACCGGTTTTAAACCGGTTTTCAAAATCGGTTTTCTACCAAATTTTAAAAATTTGTTAAATATAATATTGTAAAATTTAAAGCTGAACAAATTTTGGGCATTAAATTGACAAATAATATTTCAGAACAATTAATTTTTGCATGAAAAACAAGATATGACAAATATTTAGTGGTTTTGAAACAAATTTTGTCCAAAATCGAAAACCGGTTTTCGAGTGTGATAAAACCGGTTTTTGACAAAACCGTTTTTTTTAGAAAATTGTAAAACCGGTTTTCGGGTAACTCGAAAACCGGTTTTTAACCGGTTTTACAAAATCGGAAAAACCGATTCTGGATGCCCTAATTAAAACGCACAATTTTTATCCCAATTATTACAAAAATGCATTTCACATTTTCAGAATTTGTATATAAGATTTTAGGAAGTTACTTCTGTCAAAAACAATAATTTTGACCAAGAAAAATAAGTAGAAACTTGTCTATTATTTCAAATTATATTAAGTTCAGCATTACCTAAAATTTTAGTGGGACGCATAATAACTATTAACAATTTTGCTGCAATTGAGAAGTAACAATTTAAAAATTTAATCCCATTTATACTTACGAAATTAAAACACGCGTTATCAATTTTTGATTATTAGACATTTACATTTTACGTTTTCAAAATTTTTTGTATTTTTGAGATTTACATCTATTTTAAAAGCAATTTTGCCTCTCATCTACAATTTTAACTTAATACTAAATATAGATAAAAATTTTATTGTGACGCGTAATATTAACAAAT